AGATAATAAACTGTGCACTATTAGGGTCACAAGTGAACATGGTACCTAAGGCAAATAGATAAATTTAAACCTAACATATCCCCAGGCCCTGATGAACTGTATGGCAAGGTTCTAAAGGAATGTAAAAGGATCTTAGCACACCTTGGCTAATCTGTTCAACATATCACTACTACTGGCATGGTGCCAGATAAGGTGGAAAATGGCTAAATGTGGATACCTATTTTCCAAAACAGGTGACAGGTCCCTTAGCTTCGAACTATAGACCAATAACCTAACCTCCTAGTGGAAAATTTATGGAATCAATAATTGCCGAGGCAGTTCGTAGCCACCTTGAAAAGCATAAATTAATCAACGCATCTCAGCCGGTTTTACAAAGGGCGTATCCTCCTTACGAATTATTACAATAACTTTTTCACTACAGTATTTGAGGAGGTAGATCATGTACAGAATATGATATTGTGTATATGGGACTTCAGTACGCTTTTTGACAGGGTCCACATCGGAGACATTGGGAAAATAAAGCACATGAATTAGGAGGAGAAAATTTTTTCCTGGATAAGGCATGGTTTGACAAATAGGCAGCAGAGATTTGCATAAAAGGGAGAAATCAGAGTGGGGAAGTGTCCACGAGCGGTGTTCCACATCAGGTGTTGGGCCCCCTGCTGTCACATTTATCTACATAAACGACATAAGAGGAGGGCATACAGACGACATCGGCCAGTTTGGCCGATGACACCAAAATAGGCCGTCGAATTCTTTCTGACGAGGACAGTCGAGCACTCCAGAAATTTAAATAGACTGATGCAGTGTCGAAGAGTGCAGATGCAGTTTAATATAGACAAAATGCAAAGTCTAAATGATGGACAGGACAATACCCATGCCCACATATAAACTAAATAATGTAGATCTTTAATATACGGATGCGAGAAAGATTTAGGATTCTGGTTACAGTAATACTGAAACCAAGACAACAGTGCACAAGTGTTCGCAATAAAGCAATAAAAATCCTTGGCTTATATCAAGAAGCATAAATAATAGGAGTCCTCAGGTTGTTCTTCAACTCTATACATCCTTGGTTAGCCTCATATAGATTATCTGCACAGTTTGGTCACCGTATTACAGAATGATAAAAATTCTTCTGAAAATGTACAAAGGAGGATGAACAAAGGTTGATCCCATGTATTCAGAACCTTCCCTAGGAGGATAGACCCTAAGGGCCCTGAAACTGCACTCTCTAGAAAGACTAGAATTAGGGGGATATGATTGAGGTGTATAAATGCGGAACAGGAATAAATAAAGGGGATGAAATAGTGTGCTGAAAATATCTAGCCTAGACAGGACTCGCAGCAATGGTTTTTAATTGGAAAATTCAGATTTCAGAAGGATATATAGGAAAGTACTGTTTTTTAATAAGGTTTTGGATGAGTGGAACAAACTTCCCAAGTACCGTTATAGAGCCAGAACGTTGGTAGCTTTAAAAAAGGTTGGATAAATACATGAGTAGATGTGGTGGGTGTGAGTTAGACTGATAGCTAGTGCTACCAGGTCGGATCCGTTGTTCCTCCCTTAAGTCAATGTGACCTGACCTGACTAGGTTGGGTGCATTGGCTAAGGGCCGGTTAGAGACTTGACCTGCCTCGCATGGCCAGTAGCCTTTCAGCAGTGGTTCCTTCGTTTATGTTCTTATGTTCTTATCATATGGGGGGGGTTTGGGACATAAAAAAGAAATGAGCACGCAGCAGCCTACTGGCCCATGGTAGGCAGGTCCAAGTCACACACCCACTTAAAAGAAAAACAAAAAAAAAAAAGAAAAAAAACCCCCCCCCCCCCCCCCCATAAGAACATAAGAAATAGGAACACTGCAGCAGCCTGTTTTGGCCCATACTAGGGCAGGTCCTTTACAAATTCATCCCACAACAAAAATTTGGACCTACCCAATTTTCCAATGCTAACCCAAGAAATAAGCTCTGATGTGCAAGTTCCCACTCCAAATCCAACCCATGCATCCCACTCATGTATTTATCCAACCTAAATTTTGAACTAACCCAAAGTCCTAGCCTCATAACCCAACTAGGTAGACTGTTCCACTCATCTACTACCCTATTTCCAAACCAATACTTTCCTATGTCCTTTCTAATCTAAACTTATCTAATTTAAATCCATTACTGCGGTTCTCTCTTGAAGATATCCTCAAGACTTGTTAATAACCCCCTTTATTTAATACTATCTTCCCACTTAATACACTCGATCAGTCTCCCCTCATTCTTCGTCTAACAAGGAATGTAACTTAAGAGTCTTCAATCTTTCTTTCATAAGGAAGATTTCTTATGCTATGTATTAATTTAGTCATCCTACGCTGAATGTTTTCTACACGCATTTTATGAGCGCATTCTGTAATATGCGACCAAATTGAGCTGCATAATCTATGAGCCTTACTAATGGATGTATAAAGCCTGCGTATGACCTCTGGCTTCTGTTTGCTTACACTTCTTGATATAAATCCCAGTAAGCCTAGTGCCTATTACCGTCGCTTAGGCATTGCTGTCTTGGTTTAAGCTGCTGCCACCAAAACCCCCAAAGTCCTTTTTCGCAATCTGTATGGTTAAGTTCTACATTATTTAACTTATAAGTGCTAGGGTTATGACACTCCCCGAGCGTCAGAACCTTGCATTTATCTACATTGAACTGCATCTGCCACGTTTTCTGACCTATAGTAAAGTTTGTCCCTAAAAAAATCCTCCGAAGTTTCCCTACATCAACGTTTGAATCATTATCCTACCTATCTTCGTGTCATGCGCGAATTTGCTCATATCACTAGTAATTCCTTTCAGCAAGATCATTATATATATTATAAACCACAACGGGCCCAAGACCCTGATCCTGTGGAACGCCACTGTTACTGATCCCCACTCGATTTAACCCATTTATGGACTATCTTTTGCTTCCTGTCTTGTGAGCCATGATCGAACCACGAGAGCAACACCTTCCCCAATGCCATGAGCTGCCACTTTCTTCAACATCTTTGTGCGGAACTCTATCAAATGCCTTACTAAAATCTAAGTAAAAAAGATCAAATTCTTTATCGGGTCAACAGCCGCAAAAGCTTTACAGAAGAAAGTTAATAAATTAGTTAGACAAACGCGGCCTCTTGTGAATCCATGCTGAGTATCATAATTCAAGCTATGCTTATCGAAATGCTTCTTATAATCTCAGCTAATAATTGACTCAGTAAGTTTCCTAACAATGAGTCAGGCTTAATGGCGGTAAATTGAGACGGTAACGACGTGTCCCCTGTTTTTAAAAATAGAATTTCATTAGCCATCTTCCACAATCAAACACTGCACCTGTTTTGAAGAGATAAATTAAAAATATTAGTTTTAATGGTTCACAAGACTTCCATTTTGGCAGGCACTGGCCCAAACTATGCAAATCCATTACAAGGTTTCACATGCGCTTCCCCAAAGGAGATCCTTGATGCGGTGAGGGCTCTGAATCTAGGGAATTAATCTGTGCACCAAGACCTTGAATTAAGTATGATGCCTTCCATCCCCCCTCCCCCACAACGCTGTATAATCCCAGCGGGTTTAGTGCTCCCACTAATAATAATAATAATAATAATAATAATAATAATAATAATAATAAAATATTAATAATAATAATAATATTCATCTCCATAGGGAAGTGGAAAAGAATTCTTCCTCCGTAAGCCATGAGTGTCGTGAGAGGCGACTAAGATACCGGACGCGAGGGGCTAGTAACCTTCTCCTGTATAAATTACTAAATTTTAAAAGAGAAACCTTCGTTTCTTTTTTTTAGGTCTCCCTGCCTGGGTGGGATACGGCAGGTTCGTTGAAAAATAAAAATAATAATTGAGTGACTCTACTCAGGAGTTTGTTCCACTCATCTACAACTCATATTACTATGTGTTACATCTAATCCTAGTGTTACCTTGACGTCCGCGTGATGTAAGCAGACATACATTATGTAATTATCTGTAGCTCCAGGAGTAGAGCTTTGCTGCTGGACTCACGAAGTCGACGTAACACGACTGCAAACAAACCACGGTATGGGTGGGGTTAGAACCCATGGCAAGTGAGTCGTAAAATTCCAGGTCAGTGCGCAAGCCACTGGACCAGCTGGTTACAATACGATTCATCCAACTAGGTATATTTATACTCCATAGGAAGATTAACATGGGCCTCAGGTTTACGCACTGGCAAGGAGTTTTACCACTCAGTGGCCATGGGTTCTAACCTCACCCATACCGTGGTTTCTCTGCTCCTAGTGTCCCCCACTAGTTTTAAATCAGAGTGAAACACAAACTTCTGTTGTGTTACCCTGAGAACTGTTCTCCCGGCCTCTGTGACGGTGGTGTGACCATTAAATTTCATTTATCTCCATCGTGTTGGTGTGTGTGTGTGTTTACTCACCTATAATGTTGCAGGGGTCGAGTCACAGCTGCTGGCCTCGCCTCTTCGCTGGCCGCTACTACATAAGAAATAAGAAGGAAGAAACACTGCAACTGGCCTACTGGCACATACCTGGCAGGTCCTTGTCAAAACCAAACCCACTAATAAAAATATTCGTTCAACCCATTGTTATTACCTAGTTCATTATATGATAATAACAATACCAATAGTAATAATATTAATAATAGCAATAATAATATTAACAATACTATTACTAGCTACTAAACCTACTTCTATTAATAATAATAATAATAATAATAATAATAATAATAATAATAATAATAATAATAATAATAATAATAACAGTCATAATAATTATAATGGCAATAATAATAATAATAATAATAATAATAATAATAATAATAATAATAATAATAATAATAATAATAATAATTATTATATAAAACGCTAGGTATAACAGTAAATGTTGAAAGTACAGAGACATGTTCGATGCAAACCTGTATCATTACTGATACTGTTATCAGGGACAGATATATAACACGTCAAGATAAACCCTAGATTACCACAGTGTCTTGGCTGCCCAGTGTGGGCATCAAAAGTTTCTGGTATGATTGTAGACCTTACAAGGTGTTTTCCTAACGCCTCTGGTGTGACTGTGGACCTACAAGACGTATTAGTGCTTCTGGTGTGATTGTGGACTTTACAAGACGTCTTAGTGTTTCTGGGTGATTGTGGACCTAACAAGACGTCTTAGTGCTTTTGGGGTGATTGTGAAACGTACAAGACGTCTTAATGCTTCTGGGGTGATTGTAGACCTAGCAAGATGTCTTAGTGCTTCTGGGATGATTGTGGAACTTACAAGACGTCTTAGTACTTCAGCTTGATTGTGAACTTACAAGACGTGTTCTTAGTGCTTCTCTGGTGATTGTGGACCTTACAAGACGTCGTTTTAGTGTTTCTGGTGTGATTTTTAGACTTTTTACTGCGTTTGTAGTGACCATAAACTTCGCAAGACGACTTTTATTGTTTCTGGTGTTATTGTGGAGATCTTACTAAACGTTCTTTAATGCCTATGAATTTTGCAACATGTCCTAAAGTGCTCGTGAATTACTAACAGTTTTGAAAAATACTTCTTCGGTGCTTATGGTGAGGTTGTGAGCCTCACAAAGAGTCCTTAACCCCTTCAAAGTGTTTGTAAGGTGTGGTGCAAGGATGAGGTGGTGGCAGCTGTACCTGGTAGCTACCATCATCCTGGCGGAAGTGACCTGCTCCGTCAGTATCTCTCGGCTCCTGGGAACTACTACAGCTTCTGTCAACGATGATCCTTACAGCAACCTCGTTCTCAGGATGAGACCAGGACTGGAGGACTGCGACATTATACTGGACAACACTAAGGTGAGTTTATAATCTGAGTGTGTAGGCAACGTCTCCACCATCAGTGTTAGAACATAAGAACATAAGAACGAAGGAACACTGCAGAAGGCCTACTGGCCCATGCGAGGCAGGTCCAAGTCTCCTACCGGCTTAAGCCAATGCACCCAACCTAGTCAGGTCAGGTCACATTGACTTAAGGGAGGAACACGGCAACCGACCTGGTAGCACAAGCTATCAGGTCTAACTCACACCCACCCACATCTACTCATGTATTTATCCAACCTATTTTTAAAGCTACACAACGTTCTGGCCTCTATAACGGTACTTGGGAGTTTGTTCCACTCATCCACAACTCTATTACCAAACCAGTACTTTCCTATATCCTTCCTGAATCTGAATTTTTCCAACTTAAAACCATTGCTGCGAGTACTGTCTAGGCTAGATATTTTCAGCACACTATTTACATCCCCTTTATTTATTCCTGTCTTCCATTTATACACCTCAATCATATCCCCCCTAATTCTACGTCTTTCTAGAGAGTGCAGTTTCAGGGCCCTTAGTCTATCCTCATAGGGAAGGTTTCTGATACATGGATCAACTTTGTCATCCTCCTTTGTACATTTTCCAGAGAATTTTTATCCATTCTGTAATACGGTGACCAAAACTGTGCAGCATAATCTAAATGAGGCCTAACCAAGGATGTATAGAGTTGAAGAACAACCTGAGGACTCCTATTATTTATGCTTCTTGATATGAAGCCAAGGATTCTATTAGCTTTATTGCGAACACTTATGCACTGTTGTCTTGGTTTCAGATTACTGCTAACCAGAACTCCTAAATCTTTTTCGCAATCCGTAATATTAAGATCTACATTATTTAGTTTATATGTGGCATGGTTATTGTCCTGTCCAACATTTAGAACTTTGCATTTGTCTATATTAAACTGCATCTGCCACTTCTCCGACCACTGCATCAGTCTATTCAAATCTTCCTGGAGTGCTCGAATGTCCTCGTCAGAATGAATTCGACGGCCTATTTTGGTGTCATCGGCAAACTTGCCGATGTCGCTCTTTATGCCCTCATCTATGTCGTTTATGTAGATTGTGAACAGCAGGGGCCCAACACTGACCCCTGTGGAACACCGCTCGTGACGCTTCCCCACTCTGATTTCTCCCCATTTATGCAAACTCTCTGCTGCCTATTTGTCAACCATGCCTCTATCCAGGAAAAAATTTCTCCTCCTATTCCATATGCTTTAATTTTCCTCAATAGTCTCTGATGTGGGACCCTGTCAAAAGCCTTACTGAAGTCCATATACACAATATCATATTCATTACCATGATCTACCTCCTCAAATACCTTAGTGAAAAAAGTTAATAAATTCGTAAGGCAGGAACGCCCCTTTGTAAAACCATGCTGAGATTCGTTGATTAATTTATGCTTTTCAAGGTGGCTACGAACTGCCTCGGCAATTATTGATTCCATAAATTTTCCCACTATGGAGGTTAGGCTTATTGGTCTATAGTTCGAAGCTAAGGACCTGTCACCTGTTTTGAAAATAGGTATCACATTTGCCATTTTCCACTTATCTGGCACCATGCCAGTTTGTAGTGATATGTTGAAAAGATTAGCCAAAGGTGTGCTAAGCTCCTCTTTACATTCCTTTAGAACCCTTGCATACAGTTCATCAGGGCCTGGGGATTTGTTAGGTTTTAATTTATCTATTTGCCTAAGTACCATGTCACTTGTGACCCTAATCGTGCACAGTTTATTATCGTCCTGTTCTACATAATTTATCATTACTGGAATATCGCTGGTATCCTCCTGTGTAAAAACTGAGAGGAAGTATGTGTTAAAAATTCTACACATTTCCTTATCACTGTCAGTGAGCTGACCCGAGGAACTTTTGAGTGGGCCTATCTTGTCCTGATCTTACTTCTGTATACCTGAAAGAATCCTTTTGGTTAGTCTTCGATTTTCTTGCAACTTTAACCTCATAAACTCTTTTTGCTTTTCTAATTCCTTTTTTTATTTCTCTCTTTAACTGAATATATCGATTTCTTAATTGCCCCTCTCCTCTTTTGATTTGCCTATATATGCCTCTCTTTTGACCAATCAGATATTTTAATCTATTGTTCATCCATTTAGGATCATTTTTGTTTGATCTGATTTCCCTATTTGGAACATAATTTGACTGAGCAGCTAGAACTATGCCCTGGAAAGCATCATATCGGCAACCATCACCACCTACCTGACCCTTAGTCAGGTCATTCCAGTTCAAGCCCACCTAAGTAATTTTTCAGTCCTATGAAATCAGCCAAGCGAAAGTCAGGGACGGAGGCTTGATTTGCCATTAGTAGGGGAATTCCATGATATATTAAAACTGAGTGGTTTGTGATCACTTCCCCAAGCTCATCATTAACCTCAAGATTATTAATTAGTGTTTCCCTACTGGCAAGAACCAAGTCAAGGAGATTAATTTCCCCTAGTTGGCTCTGTCACAAACTGTTTTAAAAAACAATCCGGATCGTATCAAGAAAGTCACCTGACTCTAAATTTCCTGTCAAATTGCTCCAGTCAATCTGTCTATAGTTGAAATCTCCCATTAGCACAACATTTTCGTATGTAGATGCGTTACGAATTTCGTCCCATAGAAGTTTACTGCACTCCCTATGAAGATTTGGGGCCCTGTAAATCACACCCAAAATTAGTTTTTCTCGGCCCTCGAGAAGCTGTAAACAAACAGATTCAGTGGCTGACGCTTCTAATTTAATATCTTGTCTAACACAACAATTCGCTACTCCACCACCTTTCCTGTTGACCCTGTCAGTGTGGAATAATTTATAGCCTTGTATGTGACATTCAGAGGGCATCTCTCTATCTTTCAGATTGAGCCAGGTCTCTGTTATAGCAATAATATCTATGTTTCCTGCACTTGCAATTAATCTTAGCTCATCTATCTTATTTCTTACACTCCTGCTATTAGTATAGTAAACCTTAAGGGAGCTAGTCCCTTGCTGCCCTCTGCTGTCCCCCTTTGTTTGCTGACCTGATCTATTGTCTTTATTTATAACTTCATGCTGAATGCCTTTTATACATTTTACTGTTTCCAACCCAAGTGTTGCAACCTGCTTGTTTCCCACACACACCCATACCTCTATCTTCCATCAGTTTAAAATCATAGGCATTTCACCAATGGCCTTCTCAATCGAGTCTGCAAGTGCTACCACCCCAGCCCCAGAGAGATGTACCCCATCCCTTGCATACATATCATGTTTGCCATAAAAGTTGTTCCAGTTGTCAATGAATGGGATTGCAAGTTCCTTGCAGTATCTGTCTAGCCAGCAATTTACACCAATTGCCCTAGACAACCATTCATTTCCTACTCCCCTTCTAGGCAAGATGCTACATATGACTGGGATCCCTCCCTTAGACTTAATGAAATCTATAGCTGACCTGTACTTATCTAGCAGCTCTTCTCTCCTACCCTTCCCAATATCATTTCCACCAGCACTGAGACAGATAATGTGATAGGCGGGGTGTTGTGTGTCAGCAACACTTCCACCGTCAGTGATAGGCGGGGTGTTGTATGTCAGCAAGACTTCCACCATCAGTGTTAGGCGGGGTATTGTGTGTCAGCAACACTTCCACCATCAGTGTTAGGCGGGGTGTTGTGTGTCAGCAACACTTCCACCATCAGCGTTAGGCGGGGTGTTGTGTGTCAGCAACACTTCCACCATCAGTGTTAGGCGGGGTGTTGTGTGTCAGCAACACTTCCACCATCAGTGTTAGACTGGGTACTGTGTGTCAGCAACACTTCCACCATCAGTTTTGGGCTGGGTGTTGTGTGCTTCCATAAATTTCTAACCACCTTTTCCCTCACAGGAAGAGTATAAAAGACATTCTTAAACTTATTTAGCTCAGAATAACCTAATAAAAAGTCTATTGCTATGTCTGTCCATAATAGACGTGACTTGTGTTATGTACATCAAATTAACTAATGTTTACGAAAAATAAAATTAACTGATATTTAACATAAGCTATCTTATATTAAACATAATACTAGTTGAAGCTTAACGAAATAAAACTGACATTTACCACAATCAAACTAACTTAAATTTAACATAAAACTAGCTGATAGTCTTAATATTTCTAAATAGTATTCTACATAGCACAAATATCAAACTTAAATACAAGAACTGTAAATGCTAAATTGTATCTTAAAATTATTATGCCATATAATAATCATCTCCAAACGTGTACTAGTAGTACGTACAGTAGTTGAAAATACAGCAATAGGTTTAGTGTATCTGCAATGTTGTGCATCACAATAGGCTTCACATTGCACTAAGCTTTATGGATATGTGATTCCCAAAGCTGTACCAACAACTTGTATTTTTGTTTTTTTTGGAAATAAAATTTGCATTTATATTCTTATCAGACTGAAAACTTCATAATCTATATTCTCACAGAAAATCTTAGAAGCCGCCTCTCAAGTGTTGTATATCGCCACAGAGGACAAACTCTTCTTCAAGGATGTGACGATCTTAATACCTAGTGCTCTGCTCAGCCTCTGCAGACTGGTGAGTTATTTTTACTCTTGTGTAAGAGTACACAAACAGCCTCCCCATAAAATGAACTTATGATGACGTTTCGGTCCGACTTGGACCAAGATACCCAAGGTACCCAAGGTACCCAAGATACCCAAGATATCCAAGAGTTGCACATGTGTCTAATTTATCAACGTGTCGGTTCTCTGAGCCATTCATCTACATTTGTGTATTATTCCAGTCACGGTATTGTGCCTTTTTATTCTGTGTAAAAGTTCTTATTCCATTTTGCTGCGTAATGGTCCTTATTTCTAATGTTGTAAACGGTATAAAATACCGACAAGTTGATGAGTAAGACACATGTGCAACAGCTAGGTATCTCTGTATCTTAATTACTTTCTACTCTCTATAGGCAGCTGAACGATCCATGTAAGAAACTGAATAATACGTGTACAGTATGGTTACCTGCCCAATGCTTGTACAGAGCTGAATAATACACGTAGAGAGCTAAATAATCTATATATGGAGCTAAATAATTCATATAGAGAGTTAAACACTCAGTCTAGAAATCTATGGATGCTGTCTTTCACTAATCTAAATGCTACTTCTTTTGTTTCACGTGTAATAAAGTTTCTTACTAATTTGTTAATTTCTTCTGGTGCTGCTGTTGCTGATTCTGCTACTGCTTCCTGTGCTGCTGTGGCTTCTGCTGCTACTTCTTGTGCTACTGTGGCCGCTGCTGTTGCTTCTGGTGCTGTTGCTGTATTCTGAAGCAGGACAACAACATCCCGCAGGTTACAAAGATGCCAAAAGTGGCAATAATATTGGGTGAGGATGACCCAGTCTTCGGTGGGGAGCCTTGGACACAACAAACTCAGGGCTGTGGCAAGCCTGGAGACTTTCTCTACCTACCCCATGCCTTCCTCAGAAGTGACAATGCATCCTCACTTTATTCAAAAGAGGTGAGTCTCTTGTCCCCTAAATAATGGAACAATACAAGGTGAGCCAGTATACTCTAGCAGTTGGCCTTCGTTCCACAATGGAAGCAAAACTCCACTGACTGGGCCATGTGTAAGAGTGTCTCCCCTGTGTGCTCTGTCATCCCGTTGTGTCAATTATTTCATGTCTATAATGTTTAATTAAAAGCAAATTTCAAGGGCATCTAGTAACGTTCATTGCTTTGGTTTTAATAAGTGAAGTAGTGAGAGATAAGCTGGAAGGTGTTTCACTGATTCACCAAATGTTTAATGGAGTTTAATTGAGAAACTAAACTACAAGATATATTTCTACCACACAACATTATAAATCCCACTCATATAAGTTAACCAAATAATAACAAACTTTTCCATCCGCATATTTTTCGCAAGTATTAGATTTAGGGTTCTATTTCAGGCTGTAGAAATATTTTTAGTGTTTAGCTCCATTAATTCTTACATAAACAATGTATTAATCCCATTAAATGTCACTCACTTGTGTAAAATGTTAGTACATGTACTTGCCACAGTCGCATTGTTTTTATTCTTGAGAAATTGTAGGCAAGTGCTCATTACATGCAGCAAAAAATGTTCAAGGGGAAAGGAAGTGCCTTGATTCTTGTAAAAGTCTCTTGATACAAGGAATTGGAACTACCCTCCCGTTCATTCATATCTGATTACCTCCTATTTCCTATGTGTCTGTGTCCCTTGTGGGTTTAGAGCTTTCCTTGAAAATAATAATCTGAAAGCCCCAGACCATTTCAACACGGTTTTTAATCTCTCATCTGATCAACTCCGGCAACGACGTGATGGCGTGCAGGCAAACGTGTGGTTCATGAGTGGGCTAAGGTACGTTGGGGAGTGTTTGAAGAGTATGGGATAGCTGAGGACCAGGTGTTTCCCCTCGACTCTGCCCAGACGGCCTCTAACACAGATAACTCCAGCAACTGGCTTCCCAACTACTGTGCTAATGCTGATCTCCACGGAGAGTTCAGGTCAGATTTTTGTCTTAGAAAAGCACTTACATCATCCTTCCTCCTCTCATCCTGAATGTAACATATAAATCACTACCGACATCTTGAGGACAAGCTTTGTCTTGTATTCTAGTATACTGCCAAACTGAGTAAGAAAGAAGAAAGAAAATATTTTATAACCAAATTGTATCGGTGGAAAGGATTGGGAATCCTAATTTTGATGTACTGTAAACTCCGGTGGCCACAGCAGTGTAACTTATCCTTGACCTTACTCAATTCACATCCCTGATTTCTTTTATTTATTTATTTATTTATTTAATAATTTGAACATACATACAGAGGTACAAAAAAAATGCAGGTAAGAGCAGCATGCCAAAGCCACTTGTATGCATAGCATTACGGGCTGGCTTAAAATTAACTTAAGATTAACTAAGCAATAATGTAATCAGTGATAAAACATTATTGTAAACAGATAACAATAAAGCACAAATGAGTATTACAAAGACAGGTCATATTGTAATTATACAGTGTCGACACAGAGGGATGGGGAAGCCCAAAGTTACCTTGTTTTATTATCCTAATGCAATTAATCCACATCTGGTTACGAGTACTGTTCCTCAGGCAGCAGTGTGAGTTTCCCAGTTGTTCCTTTATCCTGGAGGAGGAGCAGAATGCAACGTCGTCTCTCCTGGCCTTGTACACCCCGGCGTCTGTGAGTTCAAGTCACAAGCTTTCATAATGGACTACTTTTATCATCTCTGTGTTTAATTTCAATAATGTGAAAAAAATCTTTATACTATATAATATATAAACTAGTTTTCATTTGTTGGCAATAGCAAAATTGATCTATTGTTTAATGCAAATAGAAATACAGAAAATTTCCAAGGCAATAATGCATATTTGTATTTTATCCCACCCATGGCATTTATTTTATCCCACCCATGGCATTTATTTTATCCCACCCATGGCATTTATTTTATCCCACCCATGGCATTTATTTTATCCCACCCATGGCATTTATTTTATCCCGCCCATGGCATTTATTTTATCCCACCCATGGCATTTATTTGATCCCACCCATGACATTTATTTTATCCCGCCCATGGCATTTATTTTATCCCACCCATGGCATTTATTTTATCTCACCCATGGCATTTATTTTATCTCACCCATGGCATTTATTTTATCCCACCCATGGCATTTTTTTATCCCACCATGGCATTTATTTTATCTCACCCATGGCATTTATTTTATCCCACCCATGGCATTTATTTTATCTCACCCATGGCATTTACTGAATTTTTCCAATTATTATCATTATTACCCCTTACCTACATACATTTCCTCCTTCCACTTCTTACTCTTTCTCCCACTGCTTGTCTTTGCTCCCTCTTTCAACTTATCTTCCTTCCCACCCTCCCTTCTTCCTCTTGCCTTCCCTCCTCCCTATTCTAGTGAGTTATGTCTGCCCACAGGTCACCAGCTTCTGCGACAGTGACACCCACAAGTCACTCTTACCTAACAAGCACAACGCTCAGTGTGGCGGCCAAAGCGTCACGACAGTTCTTCAATATCACCACGACTTCCAGAGGACGTCAGTGTGCCATCGTCTTCACGTTTACGTTATATCTCTCGTTCTTCACTCTTAGTGTCTTTCTGTTTAATGAATAATTTGATGTAGTCCCTCGCCTCTATATACATATTGCACATTTTTACAATATACTATAAGAATAATTGGTTACAGAGTATTATTATTGCATTATTATTAATAATATTATTATATTAAAATTAATAATAATAATGTTATTATTACTATTAATTAACGAGGTAGTTCTCAACCTGTAATGATCATACATATATATATATACATAGACCCCGGTTAACGATATTTTTTCACTCCAGAATATTTCAGGCACCGTAATGACGATATTTTTTCCATAAAAATATTGTGAAGTAGATTAGTCATTTCAGACCCCCAAACATACACGTACAAATTCACTTACATAAACAACATTACGTAATGGTACGCCATTCGAGGTAATCGTTAGCGTGGGTCCAACTGATAATATATATATTTTATTCAATATATATTTAAATATATATATATAAATAAAATTTATATATATATCAAATATTTATTAAAATATCCTATAAATATATATATATATATATATATATATATATATATATATAATATATATATATTTGCAGGCGTGTTCCTATGAGTGACTTCAGTATAAGGTTGTTGTTCAAGCAGTACTCGACTGAGCCCCTAATTGAGTACGTCATACTTCTAGATGTCACTGAGGTGATGAGTAACGATGTACTTCAGGTGAGTCTCTTACTACATGTGGTTTAAGACGTTTTCTGACTTCGAAATTTTATCTACGCAACACATATAAATGAAAGAACTGAGTTGTGTAGTAACTCATAAATTATCATCTTGCTCCCTCAATGGCATTTTATGGGAAAAATTTGTAATGAAGAAACACAGGAATTTAGTGAAGTGATTGAAACCAATGATCAGGGACTCCCAGCCCGTCACCAAGGACCTTCAGGGTGGTGACCTGAAGCACTGGTCTATTAGTCCCGCTCTCTAAATCCAAACTGACCAGTGTGCATGACCTGTGTCTTGTATGAAGCGAGGTCTCATGACCTGCAGATTGTGGTAATTAGTTTAGTAAAATAACGAAGTAAAAATTTGTTAGTATCCACGAAGAGGAACCTTCAAGTGACTGCCAAAATTATTTTTATCCTCAGAGGTTTTCGTTTAAAACTTGAGAACTCATACTGTTGGTTCTAAATTTTCACCGCTGCTGGTGCACTGTAACTAGGAAAAGACTGAGGCAACTATTGCCATGTGCAGGTGCCTCTGGTCAGTTTTATATATTGTTATTATAATCATGGGGAGCGCTAAACCTGTAGGGATTATACACAGCCTGTGGAGGGGGATGGAAGGTATTCATGGTCAATTCAGGGAACTGGAGCACAAATCCAATTCCGTAGATCAAGAGCCTCACCAGCATAGCTCGAGAAAGTCTCTTCTGACCGACATCAACATTCAACAATGGTGTTTCCTACTCGTAGAAGACTGAGGTTGCTATTGCAGTGTGTAGTTGTCGATTTGTCAATTTTCTTTTTAAAATAGTTTAGTGATATTTTCCACGAAATATCTCGAGTTTAATTTATCTGAATGACTTCAGTTGTTGATAACTGGACGGTGAGAGGTGCAACCTTACCTGTCAACTCATGATGTTCTTTCACATGTGTATCTGCTGAAGAGGATCCCACAAGATCATTGAAGTATACAGATCAATTAATCTCTGAGTTTCATGACACAAGTGTTCATGACACAAGTGTTCATGACACAAGTGTTCATGACACAAGTGTTCATGACACAAGTGTTCATGATACAAGTGTTCATAACACAAGTGTTCATTACACAAGTGTTCATTACACAAGTGTTCATGACACAAGTGTTCATGACACAAGTGTTCATGACACAAGTGTTCATGACACAAGTGTTCATGACACAAGTGTTCATTACACAAGTGTTCATGACACAAGTGTTCATGACACAAGTGTTCATTACACAAGTGTTCATGACACAAGTGTTCATAACACAAGTGTTCATTACACAAGTGTTCATTACACAAGTGTTCATGACACAAGTGTTCATGACACAAGTGTTCATAACACAGTTCTACACAAGTGTTCATGACACAAGTGTTCATGACACAAGTGTTCATACACAAGTGTTCATGACACAAGTGTTCATGACACAAGTGTTCATGACACAAGTGTTCATAAACACAAGTGTTCATACACAAGTGTTCATGACACAAGTGTTCATTACACAAGTGTTCATTACACAAGTGTTCATGACACAAGTGTTCATGACACAAGTGTTCATGACACAAGTGTTCATGACACAAGTGTTCATGACACAAGTGTTCATAACACAAGTGTTCATAACACAAGTGTTCATTACACATGTGTTCATTACACAAGTGTTCATGACACAAGTGTTCATGACACAAGTGTTCATGACACAAGTGTTCATAACACAAGTGTTCATACACATGTGTTCATGACACAAGTGTTCATGACACAAGTGTTCATACACAAGTGTTCATAACACAAGTGTTCATACACAAGTGTTCATACACATGTGTTCATGACACAAGTGTTCATGACACAAGTGTTCATGACACAAGTGTTCATACACAAGTGTTCATGATACAAGTGTTCATGACACAAGTGTTCATCTTGTGAGAAACTGATACTCTATTAAGTTAAGTATGTGTAAGAACAAATCTGAAAACTTGGAGTAGTTGGAATCTAGCGTAAGTCTGAGAGGAGGGAAACAAGTGCATCAGAGCAAGTTGAAAGACAGACATGAGTCACAGGGATGTCAGGAAGTACTTCTTCAGCATCAGGGTGGTCAGGAAGTGGAATGATCTGGATGAAGTAGTGGAGGCAGACTCTATACAGAGTTTTAAAAGCAGGTATGACAGCGCACAGACCTATCCTGTGGGCGGTAGTCAAAGAATTACAGAGGGAATGAACCTAGCAAGAGTCAAGCCGAGAGTCAGGGCCAGAAGATAAGACTCAACTCCAACAACCTCACATAGGCAAGTATATAAACATACACACACACGCACACACATACATACACTTCTGAATTTTATTATGCAACATTAAAATCTTATGACCACCCTGTGTCAGTAATGTCATTATTATCTATAGGTTATATATTACAAGTGGCAGCCTGTGTTTCTATTCCCCCAGAACCCACAACACTCTGCACTATTCCTTTAGCGCACATTAAGGTAGAGGGGGCCGAGCTAATGAGATACAGGGATAATTTTCTAGGAAGACGCAGTTAACAAAACGCATTTTTTTGTTAAGTTAACAAGTAATTTCTTGCAGGAAAAAAAAGGGAGAATGCTAATAAAACGGTGAATTGTTATTTTTTTAAAGTGATGAATTTGAATGTTGTGTTTACCTGTTTGTGGTTGCAGGGGTCGATACATAGCTCCTGGCCCTGGTATTACTAAGTTTATTCAGGTATAGGTACACATAAATACAGTTAAACAAATTATCCTACATAGAAACGTGTACATTACCTAGGATAACCCCAAAAGTCAGACGAAGTGAGTTATTTCCACTGGGGAGTTATGCAGGGAGTTATGCAGGGAGTTATGCAGGGAGTTATGTAGGGAGTTATGCAGGGAGTTATGCAGGGAGTTATGCAGGGAGTTATGTAGGGAGTTATGCAGGGAGTTATGCAGGGAGTTATGCAGGGAGTTATGCAGGGAGTTATGCAGGGAGTTATGCAGGAGTTATGCAGGAGTTATGCAGGGAGTTATTAGGCAGTATCGTAGGGAGTTATGCAGGGAGTTATGCAGTGGAGTTAGTAGGGAGTTATGCCAGGGAGTTATGCAGGAGTTAATGCAGGGAGTATGTAGGGAGATAGCAAGTTATGCAGGGAGTTATGCAGGATTATGTGGGGTTATGCAGCAATTATCTGGGAGTTATGCAGGAGTTATGCAGGAGTTATGTCAGGGAGTTATGCAGGGAGTATCATGCAGGGAGTTATGCAGGAGTTATGCAGGAGTTATCCAGGGAGTTATGCAGGGAGTTATGAGGCGATGAGTAGGGAGTTATGCAGGGAGTTATGCAGGGAGTTATGCAGGGAGTTATGTAGGGAGTTATGCAGGGAGTTATGCAGGGAGTTATGCAGGGAGTTATGCAGGGAGTTATGCAGGGAGGGAAGAGTTAGCTAACCGAGTTATGCGCTACGTGAGACGTAGTCTGCATAGTTCAGTGTAGTCTTCATTGTGTACCCCATACCCATCCCGTGGGCGGTAGTCACCGCATACCCATCCCGTGGGCGGTAGTCACCCCATACCCATCCCGTGGGCGGTAGTCACCGCATACCCATCCCGTGGGCGGTAGTCACCCCATACCCATCCCGTGGGCGGTAGTCACCGCATACCCATCCCGTGGGCGGTAGTCACCCCATACCCATCCCGTGGGCGGTAGTCACCCCATACCCATCCCGTGGGCGGTAGTCACCCCATACCCATCCCGTGGGCGGTAGTCACCCCATACCCATCCCGTGGGCGGTAGTCACCCCATACCCATCCGGGGGGGTTGTCACCCATACCCATCCCGGGGCGGTAGTCACCCCATACCATCCCGTGGGCGGTAGTCACCACATACCCATCCCGTGGCGTAGTCACCCATACCCATCCCGGGCGGTAGTCACCCCATACCCATCCCGTGGGCGTAGCTCACGCTTATACCCATCCCGTGGGCGTATCACCGCAACCCTCCCGTGGGCGGTAGTCACCGCATACCCATCCCGTGGGCGGTAGTCACCCCATTCCCATCCCGTGGGCGGTAGTCACCCCATACCCATCCCGTGGGCGGTAGTCACCCCATACCCATCCCGTGGGCGGTAGTCACCACATACCCATCCCGTGGGCGGTAGTCACCCCATACCCATCCCGTGGGTGGTAGTCACTCCATACCCATCCCGTGGGCGGTAGTCACCCCATACCCATCCCGTGGGCGGTAGTCACCCCATACCCATCCCGTGGGCGGTAGTCACCGCATACCCATCCCGTGGGCGGTAGTCACCCATACCCATCCCGTGGGCGGTAGTCACCCCATACCCATCCCGTGGGCGGTAGTCACCCCATACCCATCCTGTGGGCGGTAGTCACCTCATACCCATCCCGTGGGCGGTAGTCACCCCATACCCATCCCGTGGGCGGTAGTCACCCCATACCCATCCCGTGGGCGGTAGTCACCCCATACCCATCCCGTGGGTGGTAGTCACCCCATACCCATCCCGTGGGCGGTAGTCACCCCATACCCATCCCGTGGGCGGTAGTCACCCCATACCCATCCCGTGGGCGGTAGTCACCCATACCCATCCCGTGGGCGGTAGTCACCCATACCCATCCCGTTGGGCGGTAGTCACCCATACCCATCCCGTGGGCGGTAGTCACCCCATACCCATCCCGTGGGCGGTAGTCACCCCATACCCATCCCGTGGGCGGTAGTCACCCCATACCCATCCCGTGGGTGGTAGTCACCCCATACCCATCCCGTGGGTGGTAGTCACCCCATACCCATCCCGTGGGCGGTAGTCACCCATACCCATCCGTGGGCGGTAGTCACCTCATACCCATCCCGTGGGCGGTAGTCACCCCATACCCATCCCGTGGGCGGTAGTCACCGCATACCCATCCCGTGGGCGGTAGTCACCCCATACCCATCCCGTGGGCGGTAGTCACCCCATACCCATCCCGTGGGCGGTAGTCACCCCATACCCATCCCGTGGGCGGTAGTCACCCCATACCCATCCCGTGGGCGGTAGTCACCTCATACCCATCCCGTGGGCGGTAGTCACCACATACCCATCCCGTGGGCGGTAGTCACCCCATACCCATCCCGTGGGCGGTAGTCACCCCATACCCATCCCGTGGGCGGTAGTCACCCCATACCCATCCCGTGGGCGGTAGTCACCCCATACCCATCCCGTGGGCGGTAGTCACCCCATACCCATCCCGTGGGCGGTAGTCACCCCATACCCATCCCGTGGGCGGTAGTCACCCCATACCCATCCCGTGGGCGGTAGTCACCCCATACCCATCCGTGGGCGGTAGTCAC